GGGGGAGAAATGGGAGGTACCAATTGCTAGGAAAAGGAAGGCAGAAGACCTCCAGGAACAATTTACCGCAGAAAATTGTTATCATGCCCAATGGATTTCATTCTGACTGGGCCTACACGGCACAGCACTCGTCGTGTGTCCTTGGCCAGACCTGGACCACTTCTCTCAGGGCTTGTACCTGTGATGGATCGTCATGTCACCTGAACTCAGGAGACCAACCTCGTCATGGGGACAGAGAAATGGCATGCAAGGCACTTGACAAAAGTGGCACAACCCTCTTGCTCCACCTTCTGAGGTCATCCAAACCACTCCCAGTGAGAGCAGCTCCATTTCTCCCCGGCCAGTGCCAGCGATAGTTGCCCCATCGAGTGCCCAAGCGGCACTTGAGGGAGACTGTCACTGGCTCACCCTCCCCAACACTGACCCTGGCCCTTTGTAGTTGCCACAGCATCCCCCTGGATCCTTTCCCTCCTGGAAATCACTTGTCGCTATCTGCAGGGTGGCGGTTGGTGACAGCCCCTTCAGAGTGCTCAAGCAACACATCTGAGCAGCTGTTCCACCTTTTGGAGATTTTTGCACCCAAGATTTGCACAATTCTCATTTTTATGAGAATTTTTTTTCATGGCTGCATATGTCCCTGTGGGAGCAGGGCCGGGTCGGGCAGGGCAGGGTGGGGGGAACACCCTGATTGACCCAGATCATCTTTTCCACCAGGAATTCCTTAAGCAAATGACCATTTTCTTAGCCTTACTAAACACTGCCCTATTTACATTGTATATTCTCTATGCATCTGTAGCCATTTGTGATCTGTGAAATGTCACAGGGTTCTGGGGCTTATGCTGCAGTCATTATCAAGAGGGTGATATTTCATAGAATCATAGCATAATAGAGTTGAAAGCCACCAGAAGGCCATCAGGTCTAAACCCCTGCTATTGCAGGACACAACTTACACTAACTTTAGATGACTGTCCAGATGCTTTTTGAAAGGCTCCAGTGAAGGAGAGCCCACAATTTCCCCAGCAAGTTTCATTGTCATACTGCTCTGACCAGGACAATTCTTCCTGGTGTCTAGTGTAAACGTGGTTTCTTTAACTTAAGTCTGTTACTTCATGTCCTACACTCCAGAATGAATGAGAAGAGATATTTTTCTTCCTCTATGTGACAACCGTTCAGGTACTTGTAGAGTGCTATCATATCCCTCCTCAACCTTCTCTTCTTGAGGCTGAACATGCCTAGTTCTCACAAACTTCCTAACTAGGGCTTTGCCTCCAGTCCCCAAATCATCCCTGTTGCTCTCCTCTGGACCCTTTCTAGCTTGTCTGCATCTTTTTGAAACTTAGGTGCCCAGAACTGGGCACAGTACTCCAGGTGAGGTCAGATGAGTGCTGAATATCATGTTTAATGTCATCTCAGTATTAGGTGCTGAGATAATGATCTGTGCTGCAGCAAAAGTGATCATTACTTCAGGACAGTAATTGGCAGATTTGCCAATTTTAATGGTTCGGCATTTACTAGCTATGTTACCAAAAATTGCAACTGGCTTATGAATGTATTTTTGATCAGATCCATTGTTGAGATCTATCAGTTTAGACGCTACTTAGAGTAATGCTTTCATTGGTGAAAATAAACATGCCTTCTGCTTAACGTTTCACGGATGAAAAGTAGGGCACACTTGTACCACCTCCACTGTCAAGCCAAAGGTTACTTCTCTCACACACACGCTTACACATTTCTGAAGGTTTGACTCTGCCTCTGGGGTTGTATTTATCTGTTCTGAAATAGCCAGTCCTCTGCCGGTGAAAAAGCCAAGACACCATTTGTTCTTTTGGTTAAAGAACTGTTGGAAAGATGTACTTGTCTGACAACACGCTCTCACAGTTCAAAGTACACCTCTTCAAGAGCTGGCCACACAAAAGAACAAGCTGTGCACCGCGTGCACCTTTCGTCTAGAGCACATCAACTTCCCGCACTGAGAAATGTAGCACAGGCTGCAGTGGATAGAATGGGCTCTTCCCAGCCAGTGTCACTCCCACATGTGTTTGCACACAAACCTTTTCTGCTCTGTTTCTTCATTAAAGCCCAGTGGGTTTTTAAAGCACATATGCACTCACATTCGAATATGCATTTTGGACTGAATGCTTTCCAAATACGTATTGCTAAGAGAACGACACAACATGCCCCTCACAGCTGAACCAGAAAGAACGGTGCCGGCTGCCCCCTTCAGTCATCACTGGGCCTTGGAAAAGGAAAAGGGGGCGTGGCAGGGATGGGGGGAGGCTGGGGCTGAGGACTGGCAGAAAGGCCTGTCAGTGGCTAGTCTTCCCCCCTGATGCTCGTCTAGATAAAATGCAGGGCGCAAGGTGTGGTGGTACCAAAGATGGACACACACAAGTCTCTGCATTTGGAGGTCCATGAGCCTCTGGTGGAGAGGCCACTGGATTGTAGTTTATCCCCATCTATCATCTTTAGCTTCACATATGCATTTTCAAATTATTTTGGATATGAGCTTTCGACCCAAGAAGTTCCTTGGCGCATTCAAAGAACTGTGGATTCTGAGCTGCATGCCAATCACCAAGTTTATTCAGGAGGGTTAAATCTAATACCACACAAATGGATTATTCTCATGGGATGGTCTTCTCCTTGATCACAGTCCCACCCACATGCCTCTGAAGTCTTCTCTGAAGGGTCCCCTAACCCTTCAGAGCAGACCTAGATAGCTACAGAGAAAGGAAAAGGCCTTCCTGCCAAAAGTCCCCATTGTACTGGTGGCTGTTTGAGCTGGATAGAACCGCAAGTCAATGCATATCAGAATTCTGCAAGATGGAGGACTCCAATTGCTTGAAGGAAATGCCTTGGAAGGATATGATGCATGACACTCTAGTAGCTTAGTAACAAATCAATTCATAAGGTCTCCCCCATAAGAAAGATGGGCAGTGATGGCAGCGGGAGGCAAGAAACAACTGTCCTTGATAAACAGGGTGAGCTACAGCATCAGAGGAAAAGCTAACAGAATGTAATATTTGACCACAGCAGCTGCTGTTTTTAGGCTTATAAGAAAACCCCAAACTGATGAGGTAGCCAGAAGAAATGCTATTTATTTTTCTCTCATTGGCTGAAAATATTCAAACTTAACCCACACAGTTACATGTGCAAACATGTGCTTGTATTGTGTGTGTGTTTGTTGTTTTAATTTTGCTGTAGCATTGACTTCCAGCATCATTCAGTCAAGCATAAGTCATTTATATCAATAAAAATGAGCTCCCTAAGCTTTTGAAATGCTTCCATTTTCGCCTATGTCTATATGCAGGCCAGCAAAAAAGAACAGAATCTGTTTAGTTTTCATTCCTCTGCACTAGATTAAAATGTCACAATAAATGTTACCAAAAAAGAAAATAACAGGCTGCAGTTTTTAATACATAAGAAAGAGGCTGAAAAGCAGCTTCAAAGTAGTATGGGGAGAATTTGAAAGAGTTTAATGGAGCCAATTAGCTCCTGACAGCAATTTCTTTAATTGGACAGATTTGCAGATAGTGCTGTGGAAGATGCTTAAAAAGTTGGTATACAAAATGCTGCCTTCTTCACTTCTGAAACAATGGGCATTAATTTCAGGGCTTCAATATGAGAGCAACAAATAAAAGAAGAGAATGGAGCATAACCATCATTACCATAATGAGACTATTACAAATCATAATACTGCGTAAACAAGCTGCCTGGAGCACCATTTTCTTGGCAGAAAGGTCAGCTACAAGCCAATTAATATTGCCAAACATACATTTGGTGGGTGCAACACTTTCTTTCTCCAAATTAGAAATATTGGGTGTGGGTTAAAGCTCCACGGCTCTGGGGGCTTATGCGTGCCCATGAGCATAGACAGACTCTTCATCAGAGACACCAAGTGTTTCCAAGCTTGTTAAAGGAAATGTGATGAAATGCCCAGATGAAGCTCTGGATGTGCATCAAATCTGCCAATCACTGCTATAGAGTAATTAGAAAGTTCTAATTTATCACACTGTGTTCAAAGATTGAATTGATCTACTTGACTTGGTACAAATAGACTTGCTTGCACATTAGCTATTTGTTTTCTGAATTTCAAGAAAGATGAGGATTTTGCTAGGCCAGTTTTAATAAGAACTTAAAATTCACAATTGTCTCCATACCTGAGACTGAAAGAATTTGAGATCAAATGTGGGAGCAAGCAAAACTGTCTGATCCATCTCCATATACACCTCCAGAAATATTTCTGATCTCCCTTCATGTTACTTTTTTTAAAACCTTCACTAAAACTACCTGAAAAAATGGCACTGCAGATTTCCTTCAATATTTATAGTCTTCCCAAACACTCCATTTATAAATAAGAAATGTATTTCTCTGCTATGGCTATAAATTCAGCTTGAAGACTCAAGCAATACTAGGGGTTTGCCTCCATATGAGTCTCTGCAGAAAAATTTGAAAGATAGAGCTGCTCCTCATACACATCGGTAGCTTCTTGTTTAGGCTTTGCTGGCATACGGGGAGCTCTGAGGAACATGGCCCACAAGACCTTCCTCAGTGCGTGCCAGGCAGAACTGCACTTCATTCCTCTGCATTGCACACGTGGTACTGCTCAGGCCATTGCAAGAAATGACTAGGCTGACTTTCACAACTAGCTGGATCTTCATCTCCATCTTCACAGTGCATGTAATCAGATTCGCCATGTAGAATACCTTTTGGAAAAGCATGCTGGGAGTTCAGTGGGTTCAGTGCGATGAGATACATATTGCCAGAATACATATGCCAAAACACAGGGTGGGCAACTTAGCCCACTGCCTTTAACCAGGCACTAGCCCAAGCCCAAGCCTGAGCCCGAGGCCTGCCCAAGAAGGACGGGGTCTGCGAATGTTAGGCTGAGATAAGCAAATAGCCTGCTGTGTCCTCACACTGAAAAACACTCTTCATTTTTATAAACATGCCAGATTCTTAACAATTGAGGAGAACTCACACTTTAAAACATAGTGACTCACAGTGGCAAGTTTTTGGACATCCTCATCCGAAGCGCCCAGGGAAGCCAAGCCAATTTCCTGGGAAAATTGGGCAAATTTGGGATCAGCAAGCAGAGGCACATGTCCCAGGAGTTCATGGCATGTATCCCTGCCACAGAATTAGAATGCAAGATTAGTATATGTAGAGAAGCACCAAGGAGGCAGAGCATATGAACCAATCTCAGAATAGCTTCTTTGCTTTCCCACCCCCACTTTAAAAAAGCCCCCAACCTGATTGTTTTGACTCTTAAAAGTTTTGCTTACAAAATAGAACTTTGAGTAGCTCCTGGAATACGCTGGTGTTATTCAACTTCCAATCCAGGCTCACATCGTCTTCTGCAAAGTGCATCTTGTGCCAAAAGCCATGAAATCTGATGGAACCACTCCATCACAAAATAAGTGCCTTTCATTTATTTTAATCACCTTCCTCATCATTCTTCCTGCTCATCACTTAAAAGGTACCTCTCGTCTCTGCTATCAAGCAAAAAACTACTTGGGTTATCCCTGTACATGTGGATTCCCACCCGTCCAGGGTAGTTTTTCTTGGTGTTACGTTCTGTTCCCCACTGCAGCCCTGATTGCGGCCCACCCCCATCCAAACAGCACAGCTGACTATTATGTGCCTGCATTATTCATACCAATCCACTTGCCTTGTTCACTGAATTACCGACATGTAGGCAAAAAATATGCTATGCGTGAATAGGACAATGGGTCGTTGCTAAGCAAGCGGGAGTTTCCCAGTTTGTCTATTTTCTGTATTCATTTTTCTCTGACAGCACAGAATCAGATACCCGGGGATTGTGAACAGAGTGTCAGTGTAGAGTCGCAGCATTCATTTGCGATTCTGAACTGCCACCTTCTGCTTCTCAAAGAAACCTTCACCACTGGATATGGGGCCACCTCATTACCAGGTGAACAATAATCCAAATCCTCCTGCAGGTGATGGAGTTCATGTGCCACGTTCCGCCTGACAATCACCCGCTTTTCAATGCTGAGGGCTCTTTTCTTTGAGAGAGAACGTTCTTTGTGCAGAACAGGATCTTTTAAGTTGATTTTGGGCCTTGACTTACAGTGGCAACCTTTCTTTTCAGGAGGAGTGCTATATGCTGTGTGCGGAAGGCAAGCTTTGCTGTGGGTTCAAGGCAACTGTTTGCATGAGAGCCCTAAGAGAGCCAACAAACGCTGCTGCAAGATGGCTTAGGCTGTGCTTCATGGAAGAGAGAAACCTTGTGAACCTCCCCACCCTCTGCCAGTCTGGTGCGACGGATTGAAGAGCAGGCTGGAGAGAAAGGAGGGTGAACGATACTGAAATAAGGCACAGCTGTCTGGAAGGCATGGACACCAAGGAGGGGCACGTCACACTGCACGGTCTCCTTATGGGACCAACCTTTTTCTGTTCAGTTACTAGGGTGAACTCAAAAGCTTTCAGTTTGTACCCAAACTCAGAAAACTTAATCATAAACAAAAAAGGCATAGTGAAACATTAAAAATGACCTTAAAATAACTATTTTAAAAGCCAAGTCAAGCATATTAGTCATACACCTATAGATATAGGCCTGCTTACCTAATTATCTAGAGCATCCTCTCCCAACCTGGTAGCACCCCCCCCCCAGGTGTTCCATCATTTGGGACTGGCTGTGGATGATGGGGTTTCAGGTCTAGCACATCTGGAGGGCATCGGGTTGGGGAAGGGTGGTATGATGCTTAGGGCTTGATCCAGAACTGAGGAGACCCAATTCAAATCCCCGCTCAGTCACAACGCTCATTATATGAACCTGGGCTGTTTTGCTCAGGATAACCTACTTGGCAGGGTTGCTGTGAGGAGTGAGGATAGGGGAAAGATGGGGCAGAATAATGCATGCTTCCTTGAATTCCATAGAGAAAAGACTGGATACGAAAGGCACGCATCACATGCATCATGACCAATGATACTCACGGTTCAGGCGTGTAGAGGGGATCAGAGCCATGGCGTATGTATTGGGTACAATGGAAAACACGATAAGCAAGGCCCGCTAAGAAGTCACGAGGTGAGAGATATCCGCCAACTGGTCTGACTGTGAAACCAGATCTTTCTGAAGTGGAAAAGAAATCCTAATCATTTCTGTGTCAAGTGCTAAGCAATCGAATCATAGATCTTTCTTGCAAATGATGACAGTGGAGGAGGTGGATTACACAATGGCTGGATTTGCACCTTGCATATAGGCTAACATGTTGGGTGAGCCCAGCTGTGTTAGCAGTTGGCTGCTCTGTGTCCACGTGGTCACAAGACACAGATTGTCTTCTGCATCTCCTCAGATACTACTTGATTTCTACTGGCAGCCTTTCTTGTGGAAACCACCACTGCCAGCAAATGTGTCTAAAATATACTGGGCTCCATGCAACCTTATAGAACAACAATAGCTGACAATCAAGAACATGAACTTAAACTGAACTGTATGGTTGTTTTCTACACATCTTGGGTACCAATCAAATGTGGATATGCACTTCTTAAAGAAAGGGTCTTTTCATCAAAAGTATCTCTTTGCAAGTTCCTGGTGACTTTGAACAGGCTAGTTCTTTCCAAACCTCTTTCTCATCTCATTAGATACTGTTTACTGTGAAAGGATCCAAGCATAGTTCCCCCCCCCCCAAAAAAATATTACTGTTGTCTTTGGTTGAGATAATACCTTTGAACCACAGAGTGCTTTTCTACCTTCGAGCAAAGAAAAAAGGAATCTTACTTCAGCTCCTTTCCTTGGGGACAAAGAGAAGAATGCAGGAGGCACCTTTGAAAGATAGGACCAACCTCAAAGAGCAGTAAGCCAATTAATGTTAAGTGCTGGCAGTCATAAAGGCAGAATAAAGCAAGGAGAGGGCGTCGGGGGCAGGTTAACCTTTCAGCCACACACTGTATTTTATTTTCAGCTGGAAACTTTTCCTCAGGTGCCTTGTTGCCCTCACAGTGGTGCGCGTCTTGCGTCTCCCCATGCCCAGTTATGCAGGTGATAGTGTTAAAAATATAGGCTCTGAGAATCATTGCAAAAGCTGCTGCTAAGCTTTTGCTTGAACAGCAAAAAAAATCATCCAGGACACAGGACAAGCAATCTGGCTGATTTGTGTGAAGATGGGAGGGCAACAAGGCTCGGTGTCCACTTGCTTTTTGTGAACTAAACAATTTTTCAAAATAGTGCTCCCTAAGCCATTTCTACAAGCAATTCTTCGCTGCACATAGCTTCAAGGAAATGCTTTGTTTGATTATTTATTTTAAATATTTATATATTGCTTTCCCAAAAGACTTCCACAGTGGCTTACAGATATAAAATGAAACTTTTTTAAAGCCAAGAGAGTTCCCACCCTCAGGTTCTCAGTCTAAAAGATATGACACTTGGGGCCCAACAAACTCTCTAAGCCTAAGTTATTTCACAGGGTTTTTCTTAGGATAAAAAGGAAGCAGAGAGTACTACACTAGGCACTTTGATCTTGGAATAAGAATAGGACCCTTAAACAGAATTTGCCAAAAGATGAGGAGGAGGATCAGAAGATGTTAACACCTGGGAGAAAAGCAAATTCACTGCAGAGTAAAAGGCAAACTGACATGAGCATCAGAGCAAATTAGCAGCATCTCCATCTCCATCTCCATCGGGAAGTAAACATGGCACAGCAACCCACCTGCAAATTAGCTGCCCCATGTGGGGGTGCTCACAGTGTTGCCATCAGACAGTCAGGAGTACCATGGTTCTCCCCCAAGCTCTCTAGTTATTATCCCAGGATCCTACACAGCAGAATCCGTCTTATCCCACCCCCTGCTCTGATCACCACTACACCTTCATTCGCCGGTTCCCCATGACTCCTGGAACCCTGTGCTGTTGCCACAGACTGTTACTTTGCTGATGTCTAAGTCCGCTTTAAAGCAAGTGTCATTGGCTCAATACCCTTCTTCAAGGGGCAAAAAATGTGCACGATTGAAAGGATGATTTCGGTTTTTGAAATCAGTTTTTCCAGGTGCGCACATACACCTGAGTCTTGCTTGGCTAATATCCTGGTAAATTTTTGCTGTCAAAGTGCAGTAAGCAACATCAATGGACATGGACCAATAGGCTATAGGTTGCATATAGTTTACTTTGTGCACACTTGGCAACCGTCAAAAATGTGCTACCAATTGCAAAGCAAAATAGTGAAGGGAGATTGCCCTGGAAGAGGGTATGGAGCATTTTTCATCCTTAACAATGTAATCTTCTATTTAAAAAAAATGCCCTCCACTTTTTTCCAGTCCTTACGTACTCCAGAAAGGAGAGAGCTACATTCCATCCTTTTCTTTCTCTCTTTTTGGAAAGTACTTACTTTTAGCACCTTTGAAAGGGAGGGAGGAGAGGAGAGGAGATTCTTTAAAAAATAAAACCCTATCTGCCAAATTTGTGTATTGCTTTTGAACAGGGAACCGTATGTGTGTGCACGTTGCTCTGTTCAAAGAACGCAGCCTTATCTGGTTAGCATTCATGGATGTTACCTGCTACACTTTGGCATCTGTCTTATACCAGGTTATTAGCTAGGCAAGACATCACATTTTGGGCAGGGGTTAAGTGCACCCTGGTGAAATAATGGATTGTTCTTCAAACCCTGTCAGTTGTGCACATTTCTTCTGCATCCCCGAAAAAGGATACCAAGCCAGTGGCAGTTGCTCAGAAGAGCCACTTGGGCATCAGTGGAGCACTGGATTCACCAAGAGCACAAGGAATACGCCAGTCTTCCCAGTAGACTAGCTTACCACTTCCCACAATGTGACGGATCTCCCAGGTTCAGATGACACAACAACCCAACAGAGGGTAAAAAATCGACAGAAAATGCTGTGGGGTTGTCAGAGTGGCTTGTTCCCCATAAACATGCCACCCTGTAAGAAGCAGTCTGGGTTTGCACCTAACAACAACCCACTGTGACTAGTTGCCCACAATGAGTTGCTGTGTCATGAGAACTGAGTTATAGTTTTTCAAATCCAATGCATGGCTGAGAGATGCATCAGCTTCCAGTTCAGTTATCATCTCACGAAAAGGCAACAAGGAAGCACTTGTCAATCTACCCTGAGGTGGAAAAAAAAATGAAATGCTTTTTCTCTTTTTCAAAGATTCGTGTTCAGGTCTTATCTGATGCAATTTACAGAGCCCTACACTGTAGAAGACTTCACACCAAAGACATACGGACTCCTCATTTTGCAAGTAGAAAATGCAATAAAGAGGTGGTGCAAATAAGAAAAACCTTGTCGCATATTTTATTGATGGATCAGGCTTCTAGACACAGAGTTTATCTGCTCATTTTGTATTCAGATGTAGTTCAGGCATAGTCGGAAGCCACTTGACACAATGAAGAGGGTCTCAAGGGAGAGGAGAACTCAGCTGGGACTTTTGTGCAGAACTCCCTCAAAACAGTGTGAATTTTCTCAGCTGTAACAACTCCCCAAATAAGAATATTTAAAGTGGGGTGGGGGGGATTGGGTGGGCTACAGCTCCTATCAGCCTTAGTCCATGTAGGCCACGGTGAGGGACATGCCATCCCCATCCCTGTATCAAGATTCTTGAGTGGTATGTGTTTTTCTACCAACAGATTGGTTTTGTAATCCCTTATTCAATACAAATAATTATTTTATGGATGCCCACTTCCCATGATCATCTCATCTGTAAAAGATTGGTACAGCCAAACCAGTAAGAACAACAATATATTTCACCCTCCCTCCAAGGATTTCAAAGTGTGTACCAAAGTTTTCCTCACAAACACTGTTGTTCTAAGAGGCAGCAGCTGGCTCAAGGTCATTGAGCTTCATAGCTGTGTGGGCTTTGGAACTAAGCCTCTTGGGTCTTGGTCTAACCACTGGACCACATTGACTCTTTTACTGCACACAATATAGCGGGCCTGTAGTTCCTTCAGTGGTGCAGCTTTTACCATGTCACTGCAAACCATTTCATCATATAGTTGGCTATGTGCGATTGTACTTAAGAGATGAGCTGCAAGGTAGGTATACAATAACTTTACATCAGGACAAAATCAGCTTAGACATTCTTCTGCCCAGGTCCTTGGCATTTGAACATGGTCATGTATCTTGGCCCTAAAGGCAGCAAGACATCACACAACTAAGAATAGCTCCAAAAGTGACAGAGATGAGGGAAGAACAGGAAGCATAAGTCCCATGCTCATTATTCTTCTGGCACCTTGTGCTTCCTTGCAACATGCAAAGTGGATTAGCAGCTCACCATGTGAGATCTTATGCATCTCATCCTGGGGCAGCGGGATAAGGGATGCAGAGGTTCCACTGCAGCCTTTGTGAAGGAGGAAGAGAGCAAGGAGCGTGAGGCACTGATGTGCTCTCTTTCTTCTGCAGCTCCAGCACATCCAAGGCCACCGTCAGAATCATACATATGGGTGTGTGAAAGTGTTGGAAAACAGCTAACTACCTCCAGAAGCAGCCATCTAGAGATCAGAAAAGTACAGATGTGTTCCTTACTGCTCTATTTTGGCACTAGTCGCCAGGGAAAGTATGAGCTATCATGTGAAGTGTATCTTACGGTACCTGAAAGGATCTTCCACCATTTCCAAAAGGAGGTTACTGTTTTCATCCAGCATATTAATAACATGTCTCACATATTTTGTATGATCTAATAATAGCACAAAGATATATGACATGCTGCAGGACCAAACCACTGAAAAAGGAATATCTACACAAGACCCTTGCATAACCTAAAACCATGAGCACAGGAATATTTTCTCTGACAACAATGATCCTACCCCCATGCCAGTGGCTAAGAGCAATATCCAGCACTGTCCTTGGGCTAGCAGAGATGACTGCCAGTGCTTGAAAACATAGCTGCAAACTAGCCTAAACTAGCCCTCCCAGAATGGGACATGTCAATGGCCCCAGTGAAAGGGAATGGTGCTGACCTGTCCAGATGGTGCTTCACCACTGGGGATCTGCTATTAAGCACTGGTCCCACAATGGGGCCGTGGTTGTTTCCAGCCTCATAGGCAGTATGCCTTTACACACCACTTACAAGGAACATGGACAGCTTAGTGCTGCTGCACCCATGTCTTGTTTCTGGGTTTCCTGTGGACAGCCGTTTGGCCACTGTGTGAACAGGATATGGGATCCCTGGTCTGAGCCAGAATTTCTCCTCTGATGTTCTTTTCCCCTTATGTTCTAGTAGTGCGACATGAATGACCTTGGGGGACTACCAGTGATGAATATTGGCCACGGACATGGCACAGGACTTAAGATTTTCTGAAATCAGCAGACATTTTCTTGCAGAAGAAACAAGAGACAGTCAGCAGAAGGACAAGATTTGGCATTGTTATAGTACATTGCCCAGCCACAAGCCAAGCTGAACTCTTACCTTTAAGAAACATAGAGACATCTTCCAACTGAGGGACATTGTCCTCTCTGTAGCCACAGTGCTTTGTCAGCAAAGGGAAGTTCTTCAAATATTCTCGACAGGCATGAGTCGGATAGAGTTTAGTAAGTTCTCGGAAAACTACTCCCCAAGTTTTTATTTCTTCGGGTGTATAGTCCACTCTAGGGATTGGCTGGCCACTAAAGAAGAAAAGAATTACAAAACACACAAGAATTCTGAAAACAAACAGCTCTCCAGTTCATTATTTCCCATTAGCCCTCCTCCCAAACTCCTTCAATGATCACCCAAATTTAGATATACACTGGTATTTTAAAAGGAGTAACTACTTTTCAGTCTTTTCCTTGCCTATTTTCAGCAACACCTGACATTGCTGTCCTGCACTCATCTCTAAGATGGGAAATTACAGCATGCTAAACATCAATAATAAATCTTCAGCTCATGTGGCATGCAAAAAGCTCACCATCCAATTTATACACATGCATTTAGGAGTTTCTAAGGCAGCACATTAAGAAGATCCACTCCCTCCTACCTCCAATTCCCCACGTAGCCTTCAGGGAACTGGTATATATATCACATTTCTTAGAAACACACCTCACACAAGGCAGACCCGACACAAGGGGAGAATTGAGATAAGGGTTCCTCCAGACCTATAGTGTATCACATTATCTGAGCTGGGCACTCTAAAATATCTCACAATCACCATGCTGAAAAATCTCACATCACCGTGCTGAGATATGTGAACCAAATTTGGTCCATTGTCCAGCCATGCCCTTTTCTTGATCATACCCCTTTTCCCTTGACTGCCAATCATTGGTGGTTTTTCCAGCTTTTGCATGCATCCTGCCCCCATTGTGGAAGGTTGAAATGTCTCTCCCAGTGTCTAGTTACTGACAGTAAGTCCATTGAGCAAAACTATGAAGGGGAGGAATTGTTTAGTTCTGCACTTTTATTCATTCAGGAAATAAATAAAACTACTTTGACCCTGTCCTTTTTGTCCCACACACCACTGGACTAGCTAAAACTGCTTATCTAGAACTGAATTTAGCCTCAGGCCTGCAGTGTTTTCCCACCCCTGCTATAGGCCATTTTGCATGCTTTGACTGAATCACTTGCCAAGTTGGTATACCTAAAAATAAAACACTCCAGGTGTGAATGCTTCATGGTGAGTGGGGATCCTGGGTCATGTTGAAATGCTTGCTTAGCCCTCCAGATCTCTGGATGACCATGGCCCTGTCTTAGCCTCAGCCTCCCACCTGGAAAATGACATTTCTCCTCAGGCTGTTGTGGATGTGATAACAAGCATAAAGCACTTTGAAAAGTAAAAGGGCTAGAATAATACATTGATGGAGGAGCCTTGGGCATCCAACTGTCAAGTGGTATGATGGCTGAATGAGCCTTCCCTCCTATGTGCCAGACATTTCTTAGATGCGAGATCTGATACCAGCCCTCACTACAGAAGCTGCTCCAATAATGGGTATCCCCTGCGGAGACAGAATCATTTGGAATTAATATGCTTTGAGACTGCCTATTCAGCCTGGAAATTCTCATTAAGTGCAGTCGTCTTCCTTTCCTTTCTCCCACCTTCACTTCTTTCATTTGCAAAGAATAAAAAGTTACGTCAAGGGCTTTGCTGGTGGGGCGGGCATGAGTACTAGCAATTCATGCCAGAAGTGGATCCATAATGTTATTTAATACAGCCTTCCCCAACCTGGTGGCCTTCAGAGGCATTTGGACTGCAACTCCCAGAATTCCCACCCAGCAGGGACATCGACTGCGAAGACTGGGTGTTGTAGTCCAAATGTATCTGGAAGATGCACGATTGGGGAAGGTTGATGTAATGGGTTTATATGCCACTTAGCATATTTTTAAAATATGGTATAGTTGAGAAAGACCAAATATGAGATGGATTAACTCCATAAGCTCAACACAGTCTTGAGTTTCTAGGAACTGAGCAGGGCTGTGAAGGCTGGACATTCTGGAGAACATTCATTCGTAAGGTTGCCATACAGCAGAGATGGCTTGATGGCACATCACAACAAGCATGCAGCGGGCTTTGAAACAACTGAGAAATAAAGAATGCAACCTGGATTTCTCAAGTGTATTATGAGTGTAATTAAGGCTGGTGCTGCCATGAGGCAGACTGAGGGCAATTGTCTCAGGTGGAAGGTGCTGGGAGGCAGCAGCAAGATATTGGAGGGGGAGGGGGGCATGGCCTCCTCTATGCCCCCTAAGCTAGCCTACTGCCTTGAGGCTGATTGCCAGTGCGGAAGAGCAATTCACTCCAGGTGGTGTTTATCCATGGAATGGGGTACTGACGGAGCACCATCCTGTCCTTCTCTTCAGGTAGCAAAATATCATCTGCTGGCTTTGATTGTGATAACGCCGTTCCCCTTCCAAACACTTCACACCAATAGCTCAACTGGTTCCTCGCTTAGCAGACTGACAACCATTTTTAAACACTTCTGTGCAGCTGGAATATTCATAAACAACTGCTAAATTGATGATAGGGATAGGTCTCATTTCAATAAGCTGGGCCAAATAGGTAGAAAGTTTCAAAAATGGCAGACTGTATTTAACTCAGGTTTGTGTGTTTGTTTGTTTCTTTTTAAACTTTCATCATGCCTCCCTTGTTGGGAAATTTAGCATATCCTTTTCTGCAAATCTTCATGCTCTATACTTCATATCTATGAGCATAACAAGTGTCCCCTAAAAGTATCCAAAGTTAACTCTGTTTTGAATGGCTATTTCCCTGAGAAAAGTGGCATATCAAATTACAAAATGGTAGAGGCAGAGGATAGGTGGACAGACAGACAGACCGACCTAGTGAAATGAGTAGAATAGCTACAGTCAGTTTCCATAGTCACCAGTGGAACCAGCTGCCTAGAGAGATGGTGGGCTCTCCCAAACTAGAGGCATCCAAAAAGAAACTGGACAGCCATCTGAGTGGGATGGTGTCATGTGGTGTCCTGCAACTGCATGGGGTTGGACCCAATGGCCTTCATGGCCCCTTCCAACTCTACTATGATTCTATGAATATATCTTTTCAGGAAGACGAGCCCTGGTTTGGCCAGAGTCTGTCTCATTAAGAAAAATCTCAGAAGCCATTTTGAAGGCCATCATTTGATGTAATTCAGAGTGCTGCTTCTTTCCCACTAAGTAAGCATGACCAGGCCACATACACCGGGGAATAGGAATAAAGATCCCCATATTGAAACATTCAAGACCAGTCCCTCTCCATTACAAATAACTGGTCCCTGCATGCTCTTTGGTTGATTTACCAGAATAGTCAGCCCTAATACAAAGTGAAAGGGCATTGATAGATATTTCTTAGGGATTGCCAAAGTGAACCCATTCTGAGCTCATCTATAAGGTGCCTGGACGGTCCTATATCATTAAAATAGGTGTTACAAATTGCACATCAAGAGATAAGAAAATAATGCAACAGATGAAACACAGCTATTGCTGTCTGTATAAATATATCTAATCGAAAATTAAGGGCAACCAAAATATGTGCCAAAAAGCAATGAAAATAGGCATTTTATTCCACAGAGATATTTATCCCAAAGTGTTTTGGACAACATAAAGATCCTCCTTTTGGGAAATTTGGTATTATCAAATGATGCTTGATCCTAGTATTTGTTCCTTAGCACTCTTTATGGGTTACCCTTTTTTTAATGCAACCAGTAAGATAAGAGAAGGATCCAGAGGAAACAACAGCTGAAGGCCAAAGCAGCCCCAGAAATACTCCAGGAGACTGCTGAAGATCGCTTTTCCATACCCACACGCCACCCTTGCTCCCTGGCCTTAATTAAGCAAAAGCACACATTTCCTAGCTTGAATTTAAGAGGAAAAAATCAGAGTAGAGTAGCAAAGGGAAATGATTCAGGCTGGGTAGAGACTAGTCAAGTACAACCAAAGCAGAGCATAGCTATACAAAAGGATCCTGCACGGAAACAGTTAGGAGATCCACAACCATATAAAATGCTAATAGAACAGCGGTGATCTATACAGAGGGAAAAACTGCTGCTTCTGCTCACAGGATACAAATTCCCTCCCTATTTTCATGCGGTATCCTTATTAGTTATATATATAGCCACAACATAAAGGCTTTTGATGGGCAGTTATTTTTCCTGCCTTGTGCTTTCTTCCTTGTACTGGGAACAATAAATGCTGACCTCCACCATTCCTGGCTACACTTCCATGTATAAACTAGAGGCAAACTAGAAATCACAAAGGAGATAAAGGTTTTTTGTTTTTTTAAGGAAGCATAAAATTGGAGAGTACATAAAATTAGCATGGGCTTTCTTTGGAGTGTGAAGAATTTGGCCCATTACAAATAAAACAAGAATATGATTGGAATTAGCTTGACTTGGAAGGCTATGTGACAAGAAAATTGCAAAACAGCAGGCACTTGTAGGTAGTACTGGAAATTTACTAACTCCTGGGGATGATAATGAATTCACAATGTAGGTTGGATCTGCAGAGACAACATTTTTATTAAAAAAAATAAATGTGGAGCATTTAGAAAGGAAAAGATTTATCTTATTAGTACCAAAGTAAGCTACTAACACTTCTGTTCTACCTGTGCTTTTACCTGTGATTAAACCTCAATGGACTCAAAAGGTCTTCCTTCTGAGTAGACATGAATAGCACTGTGCCACAAGTGTGTAATCCTATACTAAATTTTGTCCAGCTAGAACATTTAGAATTTAGTCTGAATTCATGGTGTCGATTAATTTTGGTGATCCACTGGCACTGGGACCCAGCGCAGGCATAAGATCAGAGAAAAGCTTTGCTAAGCACTTACAAACATATGCAGCAGCATGATCCTCAGGAAAGGCATTTCAACCCCTTTAGGATGCAGGAAAGCACTGTGCTAGGAAAAACCAAGAGACTGGTGTCTGGGGCAAGAGGAGGCAGGAAAGGGGATCAGGTTCTTTGGGAACCCCAAAGACTGGCACTACAGGTAGACCAGTTTGATCTGCAAGCCCCTTTCCTGCCCTAGAATCACCAAAGAGGGTGGAAAAGACTACCAACTGAAACCCTAGAGAGGCTGTGAAGAATGGGGTAGGTTTAGCTCTCTAGTTGCCATTGGACTTCCATACCCATAATTCCTAGCCAGCATAGCCAATGGTGAAGGATGGTAGGAGTTGTTGTTCAACCACATCTGTACGGCTCCTTGTTACCCATCTTAGATGAGAATGAATGGACTAATGGACTTAACAGAAGGATGTGTCATACCTTCTACAATTCATCCCAAATAAGCTCAGGTCATACATTTAGCATGTTAATTTGGCTGTGACATGGTCACAATTTAATGGCTAACGATCGTCCTATTGCAAAGTTCATACCTGAGAATACCATACCATGCATACTTTCTTAATCTGTAGCAATTCCTTGTTTTTGTTTAAAAATTAGTACTCACTATTTATAACTCATGGCAATATCTACAAAATACTTTCTTCTCTGTCGATAGACGTTGTCCTTAAAACCCTAAAGAAAATAAAAATAATTTATAATAAACAAAAATAAACACAACAGAAGAGACATTTAAAGAAATCAAAGGGTTTAAAATGCCTATTATTCTAATTTGTACCAGCCGTGGAGCTGCTGACACACACAGTGATACATACACACACAGTTGGGGAAAAGAACACACCTTCACTAAGACTGAAGTTTTCAGCCAGGCAGTCACAAGAAAGGAATTAATCTGCAGCAAAGAGCTTGCAAACTATAACACCATTGTCTGAAAAGTTTTAGGTCTTAGGAATATTACTTAAGGTTTAAGGAGTTATCCTATGGCCCCTAGACAACACTCAAAGGGCCACAGGAATTTTGGCATTCCTGAATCCAGGATCAGAGCCTGTGCTCCAGCCTCAGAGCTGGGAATCAAAGCTTTGCTGCCCACCTCTTGGTGAACCATTTTTTCTGCCTACAGCCCCAACATTTGCTTGCGAAGTGCTTACAGCCACATGCAGAAAGCCTATTCTTAGGCCAGATCAACCTTTCTAGAATGGAGGAAAATACTGTGGTAGAAGACAGCACAGAAAGGATGGCACCAGCTGCTCAGGAAGGTGACCAGAGAAGCAGGTAAAAGGGCCACTGAGGAGGTGGGGAGGGATGTGAGATATCCTGAAGCCACTCCAGGCTTCTTTCCTCTCCCTCTGAGCTCCTCCATCTAGATGGGTGGAAAGCTCATCTAACAGAAGCGCAGAGTGGGAGGATGGACAGCGGCAATCTCCTCTGCCACACCACCTGCTCTGCAGTGGATGCCCACAAGCTTCTCATTTCAGGGGCTTATGGGAAGGCCAGTAGGATTGTTCTTTCTCGCACTGTCAGAGTCCATCTGGCCTACAACTACAATTCTACATGCCATCTGCAAAGATGGTAACAACAGCAACAACAACAACAACAGATTTCTTAGGTCCCATTCATAGAAAGAATGCAGGTACCCTAATACAAAATTAAAAACAGCCAAATATAATTATTTACTCAAATACTGCCACCTCATAAAGCAACTAAAACAAATATGTCAATTCAACTGGTTCATTAAAGGACATGAGGTTGTGGGATGGGGGGAGGGCTTCTGGTTCATCTAATTCTATTACAATCCTTTCTCTTCTGCCTTTCAAGATTCTGATCATTCCAAGGTTGCTTACAAGTAACATCCAAATAAACAATAAACAAGATCAATATGGAACAAATCATCAAGGAGGGGCAGTTCAGCAGCAGCATTCTTTGCTTGCTTTTCTGCCTCCGTCTTTCTCTTAGAATCCTTCCCACAAGGCAGTTGGTGGTAAATGGCCCCATATGTGTACAGTGGGGAGAAATATTCCAGCAAGCAACTCCTGTAATCCTTGCCTGCCTGCCTCTCTCTCTCCTCCCTGTGAATTTTGGAGAGAGAGAGAGAGAGAGAGAGAATGTCTTCATTTCGTTGCTTTATTCCTTTTGCTATATAAGTGGAAAGAGCCATCAAGTCATTTTAGGTGCTCATCTCAAAGAGTTACTGAAAATCCCGAGGGCCCTTCAGGTAAAAGGATGAAATATTAATGTCATGTTATTTAAACAAACTGTTCAAGCTTTTAAAAAAATAAAAAGAGCAGAAAAGTGCATCTCTCCTTAAGGCAACTTACTCCTGACCATTCATGATGGAATTTTATCCCAAGTTAATTATCTATAAAGTACAATGCAAATAAGGGAGACTTAATTGAAGATAGGAAGTCAGCAGTATAATCAGTGCCCTTCCCAGTGATGAGCTCTGCTTTGTACTCAAGTCTAACAAGAAAAGAAAAGGTTGAGCTCTACCTTGCCTTGGCTACAATTCTGTTTGTTCCAAACAAAGCGATCTATCTGGTGCTAAATTATCTAAACTAAACTATCTATCTGGTGGCAAAAACAAATACCATTGGCCTTGTTGGCTGGGTAGCTGTGAGTTGTAGACTAAAACATCTGGTGAACCCCAGGTTCCTTACCTCTGGCTTAAGATCTTCAAGATTAAGCAAATGCAAAGTCTATTCCAAGCAAATGAAGGCAAGCAATCAGTTTCATATAGGTTAATTTCCCCCTAGCTTTGGATTTGTGATTTTTGGCAGTACGTGGGCCTGCACAGAGTGTGAAGTATGAGCTGAAGCAGTGTGACTGTATTAAAAACACAGGAAAAAACACAGGAAACCTATACGCCAGCTGCATTCCTGCTGAGCCTGAAGTGTGCTATGATTTCTACTTCATAATTATCTCCCCGAGTCTGAGCAGCTTTTCAAACGCCATCTCCTTTTCCCTCCCACATTGATAGGAATATGCACTGAATATCTATATTCTTCTAAGGGGATTCACAGCAGTGTACATGATTCTAGGTATTCAAGCAAAGCAGGGAGCATTCCTATGGCTCCCGAACAGTGTCCAAGAGGCCACAGGATATTTCAGCTGACAGCATCCTCACCTTGGAGGAGGGAGCTGGAGCTCTTCCCCTGCCGACTCCTCCCACCCAGCTGGTGCAGAAAGACCTACATTGGCTGCCCTCTAAAGGCAGGAACTTGGGAGCTTGGAGAAGGATGGCCAATGGGGGGGTATACAGGCGGTATTGCGCAGAAACCTCTAGACAGAACAGATTCTCCACCCCAATCTTGAACAGAAGCCTACATTCTACAAAATGAAATGAATCTCTGTACAGTTTAATCTGAAATGCAATCCCCAAACTTTCCCAGTGGCAGTTTGTAGCACAGAAATGCATCTTACCGTAAAGGCCAGTCTGAGTGGTTGATCATTACTCAATAAACAGAAGACAGAAAAAGTTGCTCTCTGCTGCCTCAAAAGACAAGTTTAGCTCTAATGGGCTGAACCTATAGCATCAAAACAGTACGGCTGAAAACTCAGAGAAACTTCCTAACACGAACAGCAGGTCAAATGTTTTATTTTATGCACCAAACACAGGCTAGAAGTCCCAAGTTCCATCTTTGGCATCACCAGGTAGAACTGGGAAGTCCCTGGCTGAAACCCTGGAGAGCGGCTGCCAGACAGTGTAGGAAATACTGATTTAGATGAAACAATGTTTTGCCCGGTATAACGCAGCTTCGTGTGTTCATCCTATAAGCAGTTTGATGGTTGAAACAATAGTCCAGGCTGGTGGTGGTCATGGCAGTGATCCTGGTCTCCCTCATGGAATGTCTTCCACAGTGGATGAGCAACGCCTTTTGGCCTGGGGGCCAGAGTGCCCCTTGCACTGAGCCTAGCAGGCTGGATGATGTCAAGGAGTGAGGGCCTGCCACTGAAGGCACAGCCATCCCTGTGACATTATGAGAGTCACGGTGCCCACTTTTTCCATGGAGAAAGAATCATAGAGCTCCATGTTTCACTCTGCATGGAAAGCAATTCAGTGATGGTCAAGTGCGTCCTTTCTGCCCTTCTCATGTCCCAAATAGAGCAGAAGGGAAGTGGAAAAGAAGGGACCTGAAGAGAGCTTGCTCAAGGCAGCGCTTGTAAGCCATGGCCAAGTGGGAATCCCTAGTTAATTTCCAGTCAGAAATACGAGATTTCTTCTCAAGGGATGGGGATTGGAGGAAGGCGGGGGGCGGGGGGTCAACACTCTGTGAACTGGATTAGACATCAGCACAGGCCACATTAGATCTGCACACTGGAGTTTCTTCTCCCCTGATCTTCACATTGAAGAGTAAAATGTGCTGTAGCTTTATATTGTCTGCATCAAACAGGATTGGGTTAGATGGCTCATAAGGCCTCCACCGATTCTGTGACTAGATTCAGACAGCACAATAACCCATATTCAAGAGTTTCGGAATGTTGAGTGTGGCTTGTTGTTAAATCATGGTTTATTCTGTTGTCTGAAAACAAGCTATGCCTTGTTAACTATGAACAATTCATGAAGAGAACCCATAATTCATTGTTGGATCATGAACTGCGGGTTGTTCACCAAGGTTTGTTATCTTGGCTGTATTCAGACAACAAAATTTCAACAACATCCCATGGTTCATCAACAGCCCACACTCAACCCATGGTTGAATGTGGGTTTATTGTATTGTCTGAATCTAGCGTATGACTCTATGAGATTGGTTTCAAGGAGCCTCCATATATGGGCTATGTGTGAGAGGATGTCACAAAAGATGGTGGGTTTCAAAAGAAATGCACATCCCACTTCATTTCAGTGAGAATCATTGGAATTAGGAGCAAATGACCAGAAGGAATCACATGAATTTAATAAATGTGACCAACCTTTGAAAAATGCCATTGCAAGTTACACTCTACATCTTTCTGCTGCAGCAATACATCATAATGCAATAAAATACTGTATCAATAATTTATTGTTTCCACAGCAAGTATTAAGTACTAGTATTAAAATGCAGTATAAGAATCTTATTTCTGGCATACTTTACTGGGCTGTTATTGCCTTTAGGTTTGCAAAGCACTCTCATGCCTTAGCAGATGCACTGAATAGTAGCTGTTCATGTCTGTTGTTGTTGTTGTTGTTCTTAGCACCTGCATCCAACAGTTTTTCATTGCTTTCAACAGGCAGAGGGACCCAAGCAAAAAACGAATTGGAAGAAGTATTGGGGAAAAGTTAAACATGATACTATCTGAAAACACCCCCACTAAAATTATGTGGATGATCAGGGACATCGCATTACAAAAGCCTCCTTTGGAAACACCCCAAATTACTTGATTTTACATACATGGCTAGGTTTTTTACTAATGGCCTGGTTCACTCATAACAAAAGCCACTGTGGATGAATTTCCTCAGAGGGTTTCTTTTTTTCTTTTTTTTAATGTTTAATACATTGTATTAATTGGACTTACATAAGCAAGACAATTAATATAATAGTAATGAACATAATTAAACACTACTAATAAACATAATTAAGCAATGCAATGATGACAGCACTACCTTTACCAGGACCAACAAATCATGCCACTTAATGTAAGATTATTTATTCATTCAGGTTGTCTCACTCCCATACACACACAGGGTTCCTTTTTATGGTGGTGGCCACCATTTTGAATATTGGGCTGTGGTGGGTGGGCTGTGGCATAGCTCGTTATTACGTGCAAACCCAACAATCCACACTCACTAGGTCAGCATGTAACAACAAGCTACGATGTACTTCCACCACAACTGAATATCCAAAATGGATGCAGTCACTGCAGCAAGAAACCCCAGGAAAGAAATTTACCCATGGTGGCGTCTCCTTTTTTGTGAACCATGTCAAAGTGATTGCGCAAGTAAATATTTGTGACACTCTCCACTGACATTTCCACTGACACTTACAGGGTGATCTGCATCCAGTTCGGAGCCATACATTAGAACTCTCTGTGAACATTTATCTAATTCAGCAATCTTCCTGGGGAACCAAGGGACACAGTCAAGCTCTGGATAAAACACAGAGTTATAGGAGGTATCAGATTATCACTGTTTCTTCACAAAATGTGTCTATTTTCAAAATAAAATAGAAAGAGACAGAAAAGAAACCGATCTTGCCTTCTTCATCAGTCCAGATGTTTTCCGGTGGATTCAGAGTTACAATGTTTGTTTCATACTTTAACAGCTGGATGAGTTCATTGAATTCTTTCTTGGTGCAGTCACAATCCACAAAAATTTCTACCTCTGAACTCCTCCTCTTGGATTTTCTTGATTCAATGTGAACCATACTCACATGTTTTTCCTGTCGACAAGGGAAAGATTGGTTCACAGGTACACTAAATTCACTTGGAACAGTGGTGGTTTAGTGACTGTATCTAATTCAGTACACATTTGAAGGCTTTTATGTTAAAATAAACTCTAAAATGCATTAAATTAATGATTTGTCATTGTTAGTCCCACTGTAAAATTACGAATGTGCTCATTGCCCCATTTCATTGGATGTCTAAGATGAGAACTATAAATATCTTAGGATAATTAAAAATGATTTACAATTGTAATTTCTTATAAAACAGTTGTTCCCAGTAACACACACACACACTCACTTTAATGCCAGATTTATTGGCAAGATAAATTAATGACCAAGAAATGGAATGGCTTAAAATATAATAGAAATATTTATTTCAATCTATTTTAATCTACCTAATCAATAGACTCAAACATATGTGTGCTTTTGTTGGTCATAAAAGATCACAACCCTTCCCCCCCCACCCCACACACACACACAGATCTTCCACCATGCATAATGATGGGGGGAGATCACATCCATGTTCATAGGGGAACATCAGACACACTCCTGTCACTAGCAAAACAAGCATATGGTAGGCATGTAAGTAGGGTGGGGAGGGGGGGAAGCAGGACAGCGTGTAACAGCTTGTGCTGGTTTAGAGGTATTCCGACATCAGCATGTTTGCAGGGATGTCAACAGGAGTGTAATGGGTCACACATTTTTGGCAATGTTCATTTTCCAGATCAAAGTAAGGGAGTTCACAGCTTGCTCCCAAACATCCAGGACTGATGGAGAAGGAACCTCAGCTTCAGCTAAGCTGTAGGCTTCCTAAGAGTACCTCAACCAAGTCCTCTAACATCAAACTCCTAGGTAAGGAGAGACCACGGAAAAACTATGCTTTCTGTAGAGGCAGTAGTTGAGAAACCTGTTCACTCTCCCTACCCTTCCACAAGTGTGAGATTCAGGGACCTACCACTTCCCCACAGTATTAATATACACACTAACAGAACCATTCCAAATGAGTTTACAATTTTCCATTATCCAGGTTCTAAAATAGCATGAGATAACATACTGCAGCCCATCAGCAAATGCATTTAAATACATAAAGTTAAGTGTGCGTATCTATCTAGGACCAAGGCCAAAATTCCCAAATGTCTTTGTAGATAGACCACGTACCTCATTCCAGAGTCCTACTATGCAATTCTATAAATGTATGCTAAGTGGTGAGTCCAGCTGAGGTCAGTGGGACTTAGTTATAGTAAGTTTATTTATTTATTATTTATTTATTTGGGAAACTTGTATGTCCCCCATTAGCATAAGCCTCGGGGCAGCTTCCAACAAATAAATAACAAAACAAAAATATAAAAATTGGATCCATCCTGTAGTAAGTGAGTAGAGGATTATGACAGCCCTAAAAACATAATGCTTCTGTTAATAGTACATGCTTTAAACACAAGGAAGCACTACATCACATTAGTTAGTAGTACAATAAAAAGGCCAATATTTAAAATATATTTATTTATTTCTATTTTTAATATATTCTGTTATTTTTATTTTTACTTGGCCTTTTTACCCTACATTTGTAACTGGGGTTATCAACTATGGCACATAAAATTGCATAAAACCACATAGAACAGCATCGATAAGCCACCCTATTATGAAGGAATCTTTTCAAAGATACAATTGGAAAGTAACCACATCTGAAGCATTTGACTGCTTTACAAAGGTCCATTACGTTGTATTTATTTCAATCATATTCAGTTCAATAACAATGTTGTTGTTGTTGTGTGCTACCAAGTCGTCTCAAGCGTATCGCAACACTATGTATGAATACCCTCTAAATGCCCTCTCCTTCATAGCCTGGCTCAGCCAGGCTATGGCCTCCTTTATGAAAATGATCCATCACATACTTAGTCTTTCTCTTCATACTGCCCAAAATATTGCACCCTCTTTTTCAACTCTTTTGCTTCTGAAGAAAGTTCTGGCTTGACTAATCTAGGACTAATCTAGGTCTTTCTGTTGGTCCAGGGTTTTCACAAAAGCCTCCCCCAGCACCATGTTTTGAATGCATCCATTTTCATCCTTTCAACTTCCTCCATTTTCCAGCTGTCTTCGCTGTCTTACTGCCAGTAACAAAGCGCTAGGAGGGGGTTTAGATGGAGGGGGGGGCATCATAGGATACCAACCAATGATTGATAGTTGGCAGAAAGAGTAGACGACCAGGGGGAGGGTGCAGGGCCTTCTGGAGAACCCTGGATGGCCAGGGGCTGGTTGGATTTGGCCCATGGGTCTAAGGTTCTGCACTTGAGCTATAGATAAGGCCCTCCTCTCCTGCCTATTGCCAAACATCCCATGGTGATGGTACAAAGATAAGAATTCGATCTCAGGAACCAAATAGATTCATGTGAGGGGAGATGATACTTAATGACATCTTGTTCTCAGGCAGTTTAAATGAACAGAATTTTGAATTGAACCCATACACAAATCAATATCTAATGAGCTCCTATTAAAATACTCCAGCAGATGCATATTGTACCAGTATTGTAGACAGTCTGGAAACTACAGAGGCTTCTTCAGGAAGGACTTTTTTTACTGTTAAGAGCAGTATGACAATAGAACCAATTAAAGGAGGTTGTGGGCTGTCCACATTAGAGGCATTCAAGATGCAGCTGGTCAGCTATCTAGAGGGATAGTTAATCTTGGAGTCCTACACTGAGCAGCGGGTTAGACATGATGGTCTTCCTGGCCTCTTCCAACTTTATGATTATGCATGTAATAGAACATATTACAGAAGTGTAACCAGAATGTAACTAAGACATAAATGAAGCTAGGTCCTGTTTCTCTTTGCAAGTTCATGACTGCTTCACCACCTAGCAAATGGCATTCCTTGTTATTGCTACACATTTGGGCATCCACAGATAGGACAGTTATACAATAATACAGTTCTTTGGAGGGAGTTCAAAAAAGTTTAATATCCAGCTCCAGAGTGAAACCCCCTAACCAACAATACTTGCATCTTGTCTGGATCAACATTCAACTTAACAGGTATCAATCCACAAAGTGTTTATTTCCAATAAATTGACTGTGATTGTGTGCCTCCCCACAACAATAAAAAAAAACAAATGAAGCTTTTTTTTTACCTGGAAAAGTCTGAGAGCCTTTACCAAGCCACCAACTTCATTTTTCAAAGAAAACACCACAGCTGTCTTCCCACCTTCAGATGTTGATTCATTCTTGCCTGCAGCTTTGTTACCCTTTTTATCATCATTTTTACCAGAATTGGTTCTATTAAGCTGAAAGAAAAGAGATACAGAATACAAGATTTCTATGTACTCCTCAAAAGGAAAAAAAGAGCATTAAACTTTCCTTTCAATCAGACTATTCTTGTTAGATTTTCGCATTTAGGTATCCCCTTTAAGAATGAAGTGATTTTTTCCCTATTTGAAAGGCATATTCAGAAGAATTATAGGTTACAAACAGCCATGAATGATTATTCTAAAAAAAGATCAAAACAAGAGCATCACAAAATATATCATTGCACAGCTATAATTTTGGTTATTGTACCTGTTTATGTATATAAAATTCTTGCTGTATGTCCTCAATCTACTGCCAGAAAAAAAAGGAAACTTTCCAGGTTTTGCAGAACTATAGTTTCTGAGATTTGCTTTATAAATTACAGTGTTAGTCACACAGAGATCATATGGGAAGTTTCCAAATCACTATCCCTTGCATATCAAGTTAATGACAAGGGACCACCTATTAGAGTGAAAGAATTAAATGCTAAAAGGATATGAAAACCTCACTTTTAACTCTTGCTTTCTCTTTGCAGCATTTTTGCATGTTGATTTCATGCTGAATTTCTGTTCCAGTGGTTTTTGTGGGGCTGGATGGTAGTTGGAAGACACTGGCAATCCAGCTACATAGCATCCTAAGTATATCTTTTTAACCACTAAGGTCACGAACCCTGATGATCAAAGACTAGGTTTTGCGCTTTGCTGGAGGCTTTTTGGAGGTCATGGGGGTCCTTCGATCTTGGAGAACCCAAGTAACATTTGACTAGAGATGCAGTAAGTCAACCTATCACAGTGGACTGTGCAAATTACATCTTCCACTTTGATCTTTCTATGTACTCTATGATCTTTATGATCTCTATGATCTTTCTATGTACAAGATGCAAGGGCTTGAATAACAAGCTATTTGAAAGACATTTGCTGTCTGTTACCTTTCTTTGCAAAGATACAAAGAAAATGTTCACTTTGTCAGACACTTATGTTTACTATTTATTCATCTGCATGCAGATTTTTAAGCATCACTCTGTACCAATTTGTAGAAGGAATCTAGAAAATGCCTCTCATGTATAATAGGGAGTCAAACAGGCAAGTACCTTAAAACTTGCTCAATATTTATTAATTAGCTGGAAAAGCAAAATGGCGACTGAGCTGGTGACATTCACAGCAATCAAATAATTAAAATCCTGCTTAGCAAAAAGATCATCATGTTATGTCTAAATGGTTCAAATATCCAAAACTGGTAATTATTAACTGGAAGGAAATTCCATAAATGTGTGGATACTATGAGGGAGTTTATTACCTGTAAAATCTGATGGAGATGGAATGCACAACAAGGGTTCGTTGCAAAAATTCTTTATATTTATAAATGCCTGACTGCTGGTCAATGTGCAAGAAATCAAGAAATCAAGATTTCAATCTGTCCCACAAGCCCAGAATCATGCAACAATAGACCTCAAAGAATGGAGACAGACAGGTGGGAATTAATGTATCCCCCAAGCCAAATAGGTGTTGTTGATTTTTAAGATTCAAACAAGTGCTTTTAATTGAGCTTACAAAGAAAGTGGTAACCAGTGGCACTCTGGCATCTTTGGTGCTTATATACTCCACATGCCTGCCTAGTAAACCAACTGCGATTTCCATGCTAGCTTCAAGGACAATTCTCGTGACAATGCATTAGAGTATTCCAGCCTGGAAGTAACTGAGAGTTGGTGATGAAATGACTCTTTTGCAGAAAGTGGCACATTGGAAACTCAGATGAAGCTGATAAAAAACACTGCCTACAAGACCCTCTGTGAAGATACCTGGATCCAGGAGCAATCAGGAGCACTTGTTTCAGGTGGAAATAAGAAATAGTGTCATTACCTCTTAGAATCGAGCTCTCTATATATATTAAAGCTTGACAATTTATAGGGGTGGTTCCATGCAAATATCAAATAGAGTCACAGACGAGCTGCAGGGATCCATTCTTCCACTGGATAATTTCCACATCGAAAGACATTGTTGTGAGATCTGAACCCACTTCTCCCAAAATACAGCATCCCAAGATAGATATTGGAGACTTTGAATTTGAACTGGAAAAAGAGGCAGGGCATCAGAATTCTTGGCTGAAATACTAATGCTCACAAGCTCCAAGATAAGCCAAATGTTTGGAATAGGCAGGGCCAGAAAAAGATACAATTTAATGTTTGATCATCTAATTCCGGGTCATTCCTGCCATCTTCCTGAGACTCCCCGAGGGTGGAGTGAAGTCTCATTGTGAAGGGAAAAGAAGGATTCAGTTTGGAATCAGCTTCTTGACTTGAGCAGAACTTTATCTCAATAGCTGTCTCATTAACTAGACAAGTTGTCATTTGCTCCCAACATCTGCAGTACTCCTGCTGTACCACAAAGTCTGGCTGGCTGGCTTTACCATAATGAAGTCTGTCATTAGAAGCTTTTCATCTTGATCTTCTTGAAAGGAAAAAGGTTGGGGAAACTGAGTCATAACAATCAATTTCCCAGTATCATATTCTGAAATATTCCAGTAAACGAAGAGCCACACAAAACAGTAGCTCTGATTCTCAACTATAAAGTTGATCCAAGCTACCATAACTTACGATATTTACATCCTCCAGGAAAATTACCAGGGCATATGTAAACAAACAGCATTATGAAGACCAAGGAGCTATCAAAACAATTCTGGGATAAAATTGTGCAGAAAACACCAATCGGTCAAACACAGCTCTGACTAGAGAAGGCTATTAGGCAAAACTTAGTGACTGGGTAGGAAGGATATTAGTCAGAGAAGCAACCGCGAAGCCACTGTGATTTGATGGCTGGAGTGTTGCACTGAGGATCCAGAAGATCCAGGTTTTAGTCCCCAGTCAGCCAAGAAGCTCACTGGGCAGTCACAGACTTTCGGCACAAGCTCCTTCACAGAGCTATTGTTGTGAGGATAAGAATGAGAGGAGGAAGAGAAATATGTCAGCTGCCTTGAGTCCCTTGAAAGAAAAAAAGGTGGGATATAAATATAATAGATAAATAGCCTCTGAAGAAGCCAGAGAGACCTGCAACTGTGATGGGACAACTATCACCCAGATGGTCTACAAATATAGGCTTCAGGAAAGAGTGGTGAGAACAAAGTCATAGATGAAACAAATCCATCTTAAAGGCTGTCCGGAGCTTGCAAAAGGACATGTGGGAGACCCAGCAAATGTACGGAAGAAGTTTCTCTGACCTGATGAGACCAAAACTGAACTTTTGGCTTTGCAGCAAGGTGCTAAGCGTGGCACCAAGTGAGCGGTGCTCACTGCCCTGAAAAGACCACCAGGAGCATGGTAGTGGTTGCATCATGTTGTGGGGTTGCTATTCCTTGGCAGGGACTGGGAAATTGTTCAGAATGGAGAGCAAGAAGAATGAAGCCAAACACAGAGCAATTCTAGAAGAGAACCTGTTTCAGCCTGCAAGGGACCTGGGACTGGGTTGGAAATTCACTTCCCAGCAGGACAGTGATGATAAATGCACAGAGAAAAGTAGCACAGAAGTGGCTGAAAAACAGGAACTTGAATGTCTTCAAATGGTCTAGGCAAAGCCCAGACCTCTGTCTGATCAAGAATCTGTGACAAGACTTGAAAGCTGCAACAGTCCCCATCTAACCTGACAGAGCTGGAGCACCTGGAAGAATGGGAAAACATTGCACACAGGGCAGTTATCAGGCAACACTGCTGAGAGACGATGACTTGCAGCTTACCCCAGAAGACTTGCAGCTATAATTGTTGCCCAAGTATTGACTCAGGAGGTGAATACTTATGCAACTGACAAGTCTCAGTTTGTTTTTGTTTACTCAACATTCGTGCCACGTTACCAATACTTGGCACTCCACAGTGCTGAGCTTCTGGTGTACATCGAGTGGTAACAATGCCGGTTAAATCCATTTCAAATCCCAAATGTAACACAACAAAATGGGGAAAAGTCAAAATGGGCCAAATACTTCTGCAAGGCACCATGTAGGCTTGTAAGGGAACAAAGATTCCCCGAGGCTCAACAGCTAAACTACTTTTGGTGATAAACCTATTTGCTATTGTGCCATGTTTGAAACATGGTCCTCGTCTTCTCTTCAGCCACTCCTTTCTCCCTCTGGTCCTCCTCACTTCACTACTATCTGTCATCTGTCTCTCTCGCTCATTCCCATTTCCAATCTTCCACTGTGATTTCTCTTTAGGCTTGGAAGAAGCACTTCACATATCTCGATGGCTATCTACTGGCAGGCTATGAAGAGATAATATGCTGGAATTAACACTCTTCATTGCAAGTTGATATGGGCACTCCACATCATTTAACTTTAGGGCATTCAGTAGACTGTTTCTATTAAAGCCAATGAATTCCCATAATTGTATGAGGCAACTGTTTTATTAAAAAACAAAAACAAAAAACCCTTACTGAAAGCCACTGTGTGCTAATTGCTAGAAAATTGCAAAGATAATCAACGAATGAAAGAAAACAAGATAAAACCCTTAATCAAAGTCTATTTAGGGCCATATCAACCATGACGAATTTCCTAAACAGCAATTGGTTGTTACACATTATATGCAAAGTCTGTGTACTCTGCCACATAGGACAGCCACACGTTTTTCTGTTTTGTGGTACGTTCATATTGTATACATATCCCCAGAAGCTGTGTCCAGTTGTGCATCCCCAAAAAGATCTGCACATGTGGCACTAAACAGATAGACTTGCAACTATCACATGGCTTGCCTACTATTTTCAGGGCAGAAAACTGAAATTTGTAATGTTTGAAGAATCCCTAAGCTGACAGGTTCAGTTCCACCAATTCATTCTAAGGCTGTCAATTTGGAGGACAAAATTTCGACCATTTTTCTTACTTTAAAGTCCGGGGAAGCTAATTAGGGTGAGGTCTCCAGCACAGATATGGGGATGGTTCATCCTCCCCTAAATACACACTATGGCCTCACTCTGGAGCAGATCACATACAACTGCAATCTGTATTGCAAATAAGTGCTCTGTAAAACAAACGAATCACTGTTTTGCAATACAAGTTGTAGGTGTAGGAATGTTTATAGGGATTTGACCCATAGTGGAAGGAAGATTAAAGTCCTCTATCCCAAATGAGAGGATCCCAAACCGGGTTGTGGCTATGCTAGCAACAACATGACTTTGAGTAACTCGGGGTGGCCATTCTTTTTAGTCCCATGAACATATTTGGAAATTTGAGAAACTACTACAAATTCATTCCCGTGGAGGATGTGACTAATAACATAAGGGCCGTTGTGGTAAAGTGACCAGCCAAGAGGTGTGTGTGTGTGTAGAAATGGTAAGCCTAAAGGCAGCAGGCAGGGATGGAAAGAATTATTTCCCAGCCCACCCCTTCTTTTTCTATCTACACAGACCTTTCCACTTTGCTCTCCATTCCCAGCGTCTAGCTTCCGTATTTCTCTTCTGCAGTGCCTTCTGCAATGTCTCTCCCTTTCCCATTCCTAGCCTTCCTCTTTCTCTCGCTTTCCAAACTCCAGTCTTGGGCTTTCTCCCCAGTACCCTCTTCATCTGTTTCTCCCCACACATAGCCCCTTACTTTCTCTTCTCTCAACCCCTCTGCATTGCTTTCTGTTCCTAGTGCTGAACAGCTGATCTGTAGAAGATTCAGGAAGTGGGATAACCTTGTGCCCTAACATTTTTCAACTTTTTGTCAAAAAGGAGTCAAAGAATGAAGTCTCCATTAGAAATTTCTATGGGTGCTGCACTAGGAATCCCTGGAGTAACCTGTACTTTGGGTCCAAAGAAACAACTCAGGAAATATTTCATAGGAAATGTTCCATTATTGAGGGGCAGGGAAGACTCTGAAGCCACCATTGTGTTTTGTGCTGCTCTTTTACTCCTGATCCAGCTAGTAGACTTGGGAGAATGCATGTAATCAGCACCAAGATTAATGCTGGTGGCATGAACATACACCACCATGATCTAGCATATCAGTCATGTTTAAAGGCACCACAAGCACTGAATAAACTAGCAAATTCAACAAAGAGTTTGATAGTTGCACCAGAAATATAAAAATGTAATTTTATGACTAATACCACCACAGGTCATCTTTCTCCAACAGGGCATTCTTCAAATGTGCTGGACCACAAACCTTGTTATCCCCACCCAAACCCCATGATCTGTTGTGCATTGTGGGGTGGTTTGTTATCCATTACAACAAACCACCCCTACTAGGTCTGGATAACACAAGAAACCACTGAGGTGGCTAGTGCAACCCACTATGGCTTAAATAGTGGGAGTAATACAGACCAGGTCAGTGCGAGTAATGTAGATTCTGTTTAATCCACCTGGACAGTAGAAAAGCAGACTCCTCATCACCTGTTCCTCTCGGTAGCTCCTTTTGCTCTTCCACAAGTGCTAGGTGAAGGGTCCAGAAACCTCTGAAAGTTGGACAGAGGCACCTTCCATGAGTGAGCTCCATTCCCAGAAGATGCCGCTGCCTGATTTTCTGAGATGCCATCTCTTCCGGATGCAACAGCCCACTTCATTCAGCAGAACTCCCCAGTCCACCTTCTAGCACAAGAGTGGGGCAGTGGGGAGGCTGAAGGAGTTGCCATGCGGAGGGCGGAATTCTATTTCCATGAGCCCAGTTGCATGTTCCTGAATCTGGCTCCATCTCAATATCTCAAGCAGACAGCAAAAAGCACCAGCTTCCTTAAGCTGCAAGCTATTCTCTTTCTTGAACAGCCTATGACATTCAGGATTCTAAATTTAATTTGGCTGGATGAAGATATTTAACACCTTGTACTTCATGCTGTGCATGCTAACTGCATTTACTGGCATGTTTGTTCATGCTGTTGCCAGTTTCCCCCTCTCCACGATGTATGTTTCATTATTGCAAGTATATAGACACAAGAAAGGCTCTTCCATGCAAAGTTTGATTACCCTTGAATATACAGTTACCGAAGAAGCACTATGTTCATAGTTCCAAAAGTCAGAAATTGACTTTGCTTTTAAATGACACTAGTAACGAGCAACTGATGCCATTCATGACAACCACAATGGATTTTAGTCCTTAACATTCCTGTCATTTTGATTGGCTACAAAAAAAAATTATCTCATACCTCAAGTCTATCAGCCCTACATGGACAAAGGTTTTATTAATGCAAATGAGTTTACTTTCAAGTACACGCGCTTAGAAACCAGTCTTAGGCTTCCATAAGAAGCTAGGAAAGTCTTTAAAACTTTTTTTAAAATCACCAGATAGAAACTATAAATCCTAAAGTGAAGAAAGCAAGCTTTTGGGTACCAAAGCAAATTAAGTTCAGCACCTAAGCACATCCACAGCAGAATGAAAGGGAATGGACAGAGATGCATGCGAAAAAGAAATTCACTTTCTCTATAGAGACTTACATTTCAAGTAAAACCTATCCTTGATGGTTTGTACATAGACAGCTGAGTTACAGAAAAGTTAAACAGTGAGGAGGAGCTGACCAATGGAACAGATCCACCAGAAACTTTAGGCATAAACAAGCTTGTTTAGAAAAAGAGCCTTTATTCAGGCGTATGAAGAACAGCAAAAACTAACAAATGTATTCTGGCATAAACTTTAATCAATCACCACCAGATGTTTTCCAGCAGCTGCTGCACTGCAATGACCACTGTTAATAATGTGATTTTCACTATCAGTACTATCTGCTCTGAATTTCCATTTCACTTCACTGTTTACCATTCTCTCACCAAGCACACAAATATTATGCATGGTATAAAAAACTTGAAACTCTCCATAATTCTCCATGCATCAGATAAAGTGGACTATAGACTACAATTGTATGAGCCAGAATAACTTTTTGTCTTTAAATTGCCACAAGATTCTTTGTCGGTTGTGCTGCAATAGATTAAGATGGCCACCCTCTTAGAAACAGTTTCAAAAAGTTGGTGAAAAAGCCTGGAGCCATCAGAAGCATATAATTTGTTCATTCTGGACTGTCACAGCCTTTGATACTTACGGTTATGTTGCCATGGAGAGGATGTTCCTGGGGCACGGCTGAATCCAGAGAAAGGCCCCGCCTGGCCCAGTATTTGCTGGAAAACATCATCATTGCTGGCTGCATGGTGGCCTGTGCGATTTTTCCTCTCCAAAGCAGGTGGAAACAGAATTCAGGGCTGCTTGCGGGGAGCTGTCCACCCCGTTGGTGCTGAACAAGGCATAATCAGAGTGCCTCCCCTCCCAGTGATTTTTATACGCCTAGGCAAGAACTGATAGAAGGCTGATTAGGACAGCCTTCACCAGCTGGCAGTTTTAACGCCCCACAGCGGCAGGGAAACATACTTCCTTCTCCACGCACACACATGTGCTCGCACACCGAGTTGTCTTGCTGCCTTCCACATGCAATCAATTAGCCAGTCATTGCAATTGCTTGCTTTTGATTGATAGCACTCTCTTGTACCCAGCTGAGAGGTTCTGAGAATTAGTGGTATTTTTCATGGCAGGACTTTTCTTTTCAGGAGGGACGTGGAAGGCACCAAGACAGGGTGAACAACGAAGCAGTATGTCATGATTTGGGAACCATTGTATTCTTAGAGCAAACAGGGCAGCCTGGTCCCGTGCCTGGTGTTCGAGCTAACAGGCAAGCTGTGTATCATGCATCTCAAGGACTCTTACAGTAAAGGCAGCTAACATTTTAGAAGATGTCTTCAGTAATTTATTCATACCAAAATTATTTTTCATGTTTCCATTCTTGTCCTGTCTACAGGAATATTCTACCCTTCTCTCTTTCACCCACTTGTTTGTCAAATTCCAGTGATGTGGTCTTGGTATTAAAGTTTCACTGATGTTTTACACCAAAGCTGTGTCTAAACTGCCATTAAAGCTCAGCTTGTCATGCTCTCACTTCATGCAATACTTTGGCTGCGTTAATAAGAAAACTGACACTGTATAAAAGAATGTGGGGATATGTCATGGTTAATCATCTGTTGCTACTAAACCAATGGAAGCCATATACCTCTTTGTGGAATTGTGCAACTTGAAAATAAAAGTAATAGCTATTGTCTATAATGTAATATATGAATTACTGACAGAATTTCCTCTGATATCTAGATAAAATGTGTGTGAGAAGGGGGAGGGAGAATATATGTTTACCAAGAAATACTTTTAATAGAATATAAAATTCAGTTTTTTTATTTTGCTACCCTAGCATCCAGGATGCACCACTCTTCAGCCATACCCAGATGACTGACAATTTTTTGTTTTTTGTTTTTTTTCATAGGTCTTAGATGCAGGTTCCTTACATATGTAATAAAACATTTTGCACAAAACAGCATTTGGCATTTTTCAAGTATGTCACAGAACCAAAAATATTCAATAAGAGTCCAACCCAATCAACAATATAATTTTCCTGAGATGCTGTGTTCAAAATAGTCACATTTAAAACTTAGTTTTGAATCTAAATTTTTAAAAAATTATGAGTGGTCATTAAAATCAATGAGACTTTAGTCATGATAAGCATTGAGTCTCATTGATGTTGGTGAGTCTATTCTAGGTATGACTAAATCTGGAACCAACCCTTAAAATCAAAGCAGAACTGCTTTTGTTATTGATTAGCTGCATTATCCCGAGAAAAGGATAATCTCCAATGCAAAACCACCCATTTCTTGGTCAATATTCCTTTTATAAAGGGACAGCTGTCAAAACTTCTCTTCCCTAGAAAAAGATGAGGGAGTTAACGTTTTGAAACAGCTAGAAGCTAGCAACAAAGTGCAAAATGTACACTCTGAAAGGAAGTAAAGGAGGTACAGGGAAGATGAGGTTCTTACACTGAAAGGGGTGTAAATTCCCCTTTTCCAAAGCAGCAGATCCCTTCTGCCTTTTGTTTCTCTTGACAGCTTGTCAAACAGAATCAAGAGGTGCGTTGTCTATTTGAAGTATTATCTGGACAATGTCCAGTTTTGGTACAATGTCTCTTGGCAATAGCTACTCCCCTGGACATTGCTGCAGCCAAAGCTTCAAATTCCTACAACTGTACAATTGAACCTAAAATAATAATAAATCACCTTTTTTCAAAGGCTGAGCAACTCTCCGAAGTGCTGCTAGAACACTGTGAAATGAGTGTCCATAGCTGTCAAAAGAGAATCTTATGAAACTCAGCTTTTGCAATTTCCTGGGGAAAAAAGTGTGTGTTTGTATGTATAAATAAATAAATAAAAATCATGGAGTCTGAAATGGCTCTTGACTGTGGTAGGGAATGGAAAAATTCTAAGTCTGTCTCCCTGGGCACCATGAATAGTGAAGCATGCATGTTGAATGCCAAAACACACAATGCTTATCATCCAGTTCATGTGGAATCAAAAAATTTTAATGTTAAGCAATAGTTATTCTAAGAGGCAGCACAAAGTAGTCCTACTTTATCCAAGAAATAATGGAAGTTTCTAATCTGTATGATACCTAAAGGTACTTTGCCATTGAGACACTTTAATTAATGTAATAAGTAAAAGTTACTGCTGGAGCAATGGAATACTAACAGGTTGTGCTCAAGTTATCTGAAGCACCATCGCTTCCCATACCATCCTATCCACTCTCTTGGATCTGAATGGAACCTCCACGTCTGCCAGAGTGCAGGTCTGATTGGGATATATGAAAGCACCAAGCACCATTTTGCAGCTAAAGTGTGAAACTCCTGCAAATTATCCATTTGGCCCCATCTCTGTCTTCTCTTCAGCTGCTAAATCACTACTTTGTTGTTGTTGTTGCTAGTCACAAAGTCGCATCCAACCCATCATGACCCTATGGACAACATTCCTCCAGGCCTTCCAGTCCTCCACCATCCCCCAGAGTCCACTTAAGCTCATGCCGACTGCTTCACTGACTCCATCTAGCCACCTCATTCTCTCCCGTCCTCTTCTTCTTTTGCCATCAATTGTTCCCAGCATTAGGGTCTTCGCCAGTGAGTCCTTCCTTCTCATTAGGTGGCCAAAGTATTTGAGTTTCATCTTCAGGATCTGGCCTTCTAAAGAGCAGTCAGGGTTGATCTCCTCTAGGGCCGACCGGTTTGATCGCCTTGTGGTCCAAGGGACTCGCAGGAGTCTCCTCCAGCACCACAATTCAAAGGCCTCAATTCTTTGGTGCTCAGCCTTCCTTATGGTCCAGCTTTCACAGCCATACATTGCAACTGGGAAAACCATAGTCTTGACTATACTAACTACTTTAGGCAAGGTTTTTTACTTGTGAGATTTCTTGTCTTTATTTAAACCTGGCAAGTATTTTATGAAACATAATGCTCTGTTTCATAAAATCCGTCATGAATTTCTTTGAAAAGTATGCAATTTCTATCAAAGAAATTGGTTTTGGCTTTCCAGATGTTGCTTTATGTTACTGGGTATATTTATTGAACAGTTCCAAATCTTGGTTTTACCCTACTCATTTTAGATTATCCATTTATCAGTTTTGAAATCTTTATGTCTGAATCCTCTCTTCAAATGGGATCTTGGCACACTAGTTCCTTCTACTATTACAGTGGTTAAGGAGGTGCAGTGTTTAATATCAATTATGAAAATTGATATTACTTTATATTTTTGTGATTTTTTTAGAAATTAATAAAAGCAAGCTTTTTGCTTATCTGGTTGAGATGTTCATGGGTGTTAACCAATGGTTTTTATTGCTGCTGTTGTTTCAGCTTGTATCATTGCATATTGTTTTTATTGAGCAATTCTGTTTTGTTTCCACACTGAGGTACTGAGTACTGCTTTGACAGAGGTGTTTCAACAGAGGTGACGTTTTCCTCAAAATAAATACTGGGACCATCCAATGTGGCTGCCCAAGCGACTGTTCCAAACAGAAGAGAATTACAAGTATCCAATAGAAAGAAGTGTAGAGGCCACGATTGCCTCCACACTCTACTCCCCTTTGGAAACATTTATTTGTCGATTTTTGGCAATCGAAATATATTCCCATCCTCATGAGAAGCTGAGGCACTGCTGGGATTCTTCAGATGACAGCAGTACCTTGCTTACGTGCTCTTCCTGGCTCCGAAGGTGGTCTTCCTTCTTCGGGGTCCACCTAGCATGGAAAGAACTGTGCCACTGCAAAGGTGGAAGGATTACTCTTTGTAGTTGTTGTTCTGAGGTTGGAGGTGTGATTCTAACCCACCCGAGGGCTCCCCAGAGTAGGTCAGAAGATCATGGGATTGCACTCAAAATGAAGCACACCTTTATGTACAGCAGCTCTTACAGAGGACTTAAAAGATCTCTCTGAGTTGCTATTTTACTTCATAAATAATTCTGCAAAAGTAACTTGCACTAGTCTGAATTTATTTCTGATAAAATTTATTATAATTTAGAAGCATACTTACTGAAGTAATGTTATATGACCTTTTTTCCAATTTCCACAGCAAAGCAGACCTAAAATTTTACATAAAGTAACTGGACATTCGCTGAGTGAAGTCCCTAATAAAGCTGCCTTCAAACCTTAAGCACTGTTCATTTTGGAATCTTGCCAACATTTAGCCAATAGACTATACTAGAAAAATTATTAAATCCTAAGGCCATGTATAACATAATAATGCCAAAGCTCTACAAAAGAACAAAAAGGGCAAAGTAGTTTTAAAAATTATTTCCTGTAAGCAGGAAATGAAAGTCTAGGGATGCTGGGCCTGGAATCCTTGCCATTTGCAGAATGGGGTTCTCCGTTATTAACTGATCAAAGATAAGCACACCGATGATATTAAAGCACAGAAGCACAGAGATTTCACCTCTTGATTTATGTGCTCATAACTGGAAGTTTCATCAGTTCTTCCATATTAATGCAGCAATTCGCTTTTATCACCTGAAGTGACCAAGCCCATATACATATTTGCTTTTTATTCACTACATGTTATTTTCAGAATGTATATAGAAAAAATTAATCCTTTAGGAATATTGGGTTCAATTTAAGTGGTTCATTTCATTTCACATATCATCTTTCCCACACCTGTAGCTCCCCAAATACCAAATATCTGTTTGAAAAAGACACACTGACTGTTTACTGCCAGTATATGGAATAGGATGTGACTGTGAAAGGGGGATCTGCAAAAATATCCTATTACTACCCTTGGCGGGTTGACCTTGCAAATAAGGCGCC